ATGAGATCTATAAAAAGCCATCTCCGTGCAAAATTAAAGTATTTTACCTCTACATTTCTGTTTTTGTTGGGTCATAAAAAGTTAAGAACACTAAAGAAATACCACTAAATTTTAACAGTTGCTATAAAAATGCATTCTTTGAATTCTAGAGTTCAGACGGTAACACTATATGCTGTTGTGTATCCTAACTCAATCTTTTAATAATTCAAGATTTTTTTCTGAAATCATCTTTTTAAAAGTAAGCATTTATCTGCTTGGTTTCTGGACAAGTCATCCTTTGTCTTCTTGAAATTATAATAATTTATCATTGCTTGGCTTAATGACAATCTTCGCAAATCTTCCTTGAGAATTGTCCATGTGCTTGTCCCACGAAATATGGATAATTAGTAAATTATACAAAAGATGATGATGTGACTGATCCCCATGTGCGTATCTGTATTTTGATATGAAATTTCTTATGCATATGTGTGTGTGTGTGTGTGTGTGTGTGTATATATATATATATATATTTATAAGTACTCCCAAATATTCCTTAGCAGCCCCTTGTCATGTCTGAGAACTATCCCATTATCTAGAATTATTAGGGAAGCAGTGCTTCTCATAAGCAAGACTGACATCCTAAGAGGCAAAATTCTACTTTAACCATCGGGATGGAAATCTTTCGCAAATGCTTTCTGTCTTCTGAAATTATTAGTAATAACAGTTTCTTGATGAGAGAGGGCCAACTTTATGACTCTCAGAGTAGATGGAACAGCCATGACATTAAATGGTCTCTGACAGTTTTTCTTTCTTGCATTCTTTAACTCAGTTTTTCTAACTCCTCTGTCTTCTCTCTTTGCCACCACAGTATCTACTCTCCCTCCTTATGATGGTCTATGTGTCTGCTTACAAGAGTTCTTCCTTTTTTTTTTTTTTTTTTTCTGAGATAGAGTCTCACTCTGTCACCAGGCTGGAGTGCAGTGGCGTGATCTCAGCTCACTGCAATCTCCACCTCCCAGGTTCAAGCGATTCTCCTGCCTCAGCCTCCTGAGTGGCTGGGACTACAGGCACGTGCCACCATGCCCAGCTAATTTTTGTGTTTTTAAAAGAGACAGGGCCAGGATGATCTTGATCTCTTGACCTCGTGATCCATCCACCTCGGCCTCCCAAACTGCTGGGATTACAGGTGTGAGCCACCGGAACTGGCCAGTTCTTGCATTTTTCAACATGTTGATTGAAGTCCAATATGGACTGGGAAATCTATGGTCGTCATTGTTAAGCTTTGTCTAAGACAGAACAGTTTCTGTTATGCTGACTTTGACTATTCTAGACCCTTCTGCCTTTTTCCTAGTAGTTTCTACTCTCTTAGCAGTAGAGAAATTTACCAAAGAAATGTCCTCTGGATATGTGGGATAACTGTGCTGAACTAATGCAGATTAATTGTGCTAGAAACAGTAAGATGCTACTGCCAGAAAATATTAAGAATTATCATGCTTCTTTCATAATTCCCATTATGTAAAGTAGAAGAGAATCTTAAAATATAAAAGTAGTAAACTCTTTTTAAACTTGTCATTTTCTTACTCTACACACCTAAAGACCCACACATATCTAAGCAGTTCTTGCAGCTGATTTGGGTGCCCCCGAGACACAGAACTTGGAAACTTAGACAGAAATCTCAGCACGGTAGCAACTGCAGAACTGGCCCTTTGCTACTGAACTCTGCAACCTGCAAAACATTGTTCAGTCTGAACACTGAAAAGAAAATGGTTCTCTCATAACTTCTTTCTATCAGTTTTACATTGTATTGACAGTATATTGCCAGCTGAACCGAAGAATCAAAATATCATAAAATGTGACCATCTGAGGATGGCCTAGAACATAGTATGTGCTACTAAATTCTTATTGACTAGTAGACATTAATAAATAGAAAACACTGCGATCCTCAAGGAAGACATGTAGATATAGATAGCAGTTGAGATAAATGCTCACATTTGAACTATTTCTCTCAGCCAAGCACAGGGGTAGGCAGTGGGCTCGAAAGAGATAAATGGGGCTTGGTCTGCCCATAAGGGGCGTACAGACCAAATTCTCTTCCAGAGGACAGTCTTAGCAGCTCAGAAGGAATCACTGTATGAAAGAAAGATTAGTGTCACTGATCCTTAAATTTGGTGTTTAGATGTGGTGCAGTTCTTTGTACTTTAGCATAGTCTTTTTATCTGTCTGCTTTTAGGATCTTTTTTCTTTGTTACTAATTTTGAGCAATATGATTAAAAGACACCTTGGTATTGTTTCTTCATGTTTTCTGTGCTGGGGGCTCCTTGAGCTGCTTAGATCTGTGAGTTCATAGTTTTCATTAGATTTGGAAAATTTTCAACTATTATTTTTTAAAATATTTTTTTTTTGTTCTCTTTCTCTTCTCATTTGAGGACTCCATTTACACACGTGAGGTCACTTGAAGCTCACTGATGCACTATACCTCTTTTCTTCTTTTTTCTTTGTGTTTCATTTTAGATCATTCCTACTGCTGTATTCAAGTTCACTAATCTTTTATTCTGTAATCTTATAATCTGCTGTTAATCCCATTCCACATAGTTTTTGTTCAGGCATATTATATTATATTTATTATACTTTAAGTTCTGGGATACATGTGTAGAACGTGCAGGTTTGTTACATAGGTATACACATACCATGGTGGTTTGCTGCACCCATCAACCGATATCTACATTAGGTATTTCTCCTAATGCTATCCCTCTTCTAGCCCCCGATCCCTGCCAGGACCCAGTGTGTGATGTTCCCTTCCCTGTGTCCATGTGTTCTCATTGTTCAGTTCCCACTTATGAGTGAGAACATGTGGTATTTGGTTTTCTGTTCCTGTGTTAGTTTGCTGAGAATGATGGTTTCCAGCTCCATCCACGTCTCTGCAGAGGTAATGAACTCATCCTTTTTTATGGCTGCATAGTATTCCATGGTATATATGAGGCGTTATATTTTAATTCTAGAAGCTTGAGTTTGTTCTTTTGTATATTTTTCCTATTTCTACTTTTTGAACATATGGAATATAGAGTTTAAAGGTTGAAGTCTTATACTCAAAATCTTCTAGAGCCCAAAGATATTTCTCCACTTTTAAGTTGTTATGATTACATGATAACGACATAAGTATTTCTCAAGGAAAGTGATAATTGATTAAAAAAAAAAAGTAAAGGAAGAGAGAAAGAAGAGAGAGATGGGGGGGAGAGGGAGAGAGGGAGAGAGAGAGAGAGAGAGAGAGAGAGAGACAACATCTTAAGATGACACACCTGATTTGCCACCATCTAGATCTTTGTGTCTTAGCCAGGCTGATGCCTGAAGCCCAGAGCCCATTTCCCTGTACCCGTCTAGTTAGTGCTGTACGGCAGGGGAGCTGGGTAGGGTCTTTCAGCTCATGAGCACGTGAGTGCTCATGGGCACATACAGTGGTTTGGCCTATGACATCTCGCTACCATCCTTGCATCCAGTGTTCTGATTGATGTACATGATGTAGAGTGAGGCAGCCCTGATTTTCTCTGCAGATGACACATCTGAGACACAGTGACGTGCTGTAGTTTGCCCAGGCTCACCATGCTCAGAAAAGGTAGAGCCTCGGTTTGAATTATGACGTGAATCAAAGCTTCCTAGATCACGCTAAATTTGGAGAGACATAAGATGTAAGGCCTCGTTCCAGGAAGTGATTTCCATTAGTATCTCTTTTCTCCTCCTTTAAGACTACGCTCCGGATGTCTACCGGGTGCAACTCTGCTTTTGAAGCTTTTCTCTACCAATCTCTGGTTGCAAGCAAGAGATATGTACAACTCTAGGGCTGCCTATGGGCAGGGTGTAGAAAAGGGCTAATTATGTCCATTCCTAAGACTCTTCAGAGAAGAAGTGGGTCTGGCCATAGGGCAGCGGCCAGCTCTGTAGGAAGAATTGTCAGGGTCTGGGGCCCATGAGCTGGGATGGCACTTGAGAAAGAAGGAAGTTCTGTAGCTTGGACTGCAGCAATGGAAACAAAGGATGACAGAGAGAGAATGACAAGAAGGCAGACATCCAAAGGAATAAGCAAAGGGAAGGGTGTAGTTACATAATGTTGAGACCAGGGTGTAGTGTGTGTGTGTGACATCTACAGCTTTGAGCTTCTGAACGTTATCTGTATCCGTGTGTATATGTTCACATGGTTTGGATGAAAATAAATGTCAAGGAAAGGAGTGATTGATGAATATGCCATACCCCAGGATTTGGTATGAAATGAATGGATCATGCATGACAGAAGTGCAAACTTTCTCTCTTGGTATTCTCCCCACCCGCCCTCATTCTTCTAAGAGGTCACAGTTTTTTATGCAACAAAGCAAGTTAGCGCACTGGTGACCAGACTCAGGAATTGCTTGCTATGCTGAATCTCTTTTTGCCCAAAATGAGTGTTATGAAAATCAATCAGGAACAGTGTCAGTTTATAATGACTCAGAGAAAAAGGCCATTCTAATCTCCTCTCCAATAATCTATTTAACACTTTTGCCAAAGTCAGCCAACAATACTATTCTTCTCTGTAAGCCCATGCTTTAAAAACATAAGGGGTTCTTTTCTTTTCTTTTGGGACTGGGACCTGGTACATTCTAAGTGTTCACATGGGGTTTGACAGTTGTTTGAGTATTAACTCCCTTACCCGTTAATGACAGTGCTTTGAAAAAATGTTAACCTGTCACAATCTCCACTGAAAACAAAGTAGCTCAGCTACACGAATAGAATGAAAAACATTTCACAGCATTTCCAGTGAGTATCATCACATCTAGTCCTCTCTGTTTGTAGCGATCTTTAAGGACCCCTGAGCCTTTCAGACGAATTTTTAAAAGGAATACATTTCCAAGTAAAACAGTTCAATATAAATGTTTTTTCTCTAACATCCTAGAAATCTTTATTAGAATTGCATTTCTCAAAACTGGACTTGTATTGATATCTGAGAAGCTGCTCATAACTCCAGATTTCTTTTTATTGTAATGAACTGGCCATACCTTCCAGCTCCCTGCAGCCAAGTTCTGCAGGGCGCCTGCCGCCCCTTCCAGCGTGTCTGGATTTGAGCACTCAGAGAGCAGTGTGAGGTAGGGTTTGACTATTGATGGGTGCCACAGCATCTGGATCCCTTTTGGTGGTTCAGCACAGTCTGGAAGAGGTCCTACTCCATCCCACTGGTGGAAGAAAAACAAGAGAGCAAACATCTTTAACATCTTTATGCTTCCCAACATTGCCTTCCTCAAACATTACAGGTGAAAACAAAAGCAGAGCATTATCACATTTGCTGAATATAGACTGCACGGAGGCTACTGCATCAGCAGTCCAGGGATCACTAAAAGTGGAAGCCATTCCTGCCCAGCGAGAGCTTGGGATCGAGGGTGGAGGGCGGGTTAGCGTATGCACACAAGAGAATGTAACTGGCAGAAGAAGTGGATAAGCTCTCCAAGAATGATTCTAACATGTTGCTGTAGGAAGGAAGGGGAAGAGATGAATTAATTTTAATTTTGATTGAGCAGGTTGGAAGAAGGATAAAGATCAAAGTAGCATATTTTATAGTAAGCATACTACAGATGTTGCGTAACAGTTACCGACAATTAAATGCCCTCACTTCTTGTCCATAATCGTTAATGTGATAAACTCCTATATAATTTGTTACATACATACAAATTGGGTTCTATTGTTGCATCTAACAAATGACAAAATCGATAAAAGAGAGAAAACTGCTATGGTTTATTAGACACATTGACATGAGCTATAGGTAAATCTAGATCTTAGAGCAACCATTATAGTTTAGTTTGCTTTGATTTGAATCTAATGAATAACAGGATAATGTGTAATTCAAAATTAATTACCCATAATTTAGAAATTATGGCTTACATGCACAAAGGAATACCAGTCAACCATTAAGAATGATACTTATGAAGACTATGTAGCAACTTGGACAAATTATAACAATAAAAGTTAAATGATCAAAGCAGGATGCAAAGTAGTATGGGATTTGCACATTATTCCAAGTAAAATGCATCATAAAACACCTGTAATTATCATAAAAATTTATTAATACAATGTCTTTTTCTCTACATTTCAAACTTCCTGTTCTATTACTCTTACAATTTAAAACATACTAAAAATAAAATAATGATTCTGATCTTTGATTACACAAAGGCTTTGTCTTTTGTGAAAATAAAGAGTATAATCAAGTTAGAAATGAAAGATGCTATGCTTTTAGAAAAAAATACACATATTCAGTTCTGAGAAAAATGACAGTAAAATAAAACAATTTCTTTATAATTTTAGTGTGAGAAAATGAAGATATTTAGCTCATTAGTGTTTATGAATGATTACTTAAAAATACACTGTAAATGACACATGCTAAACATACTTGCAGATATTTTATGTACATACATATACATGCATGTATATATATGTGTGTGTATAAATATGAAAAACAAAACCATATTTCTGAATGTAAGTTCCTTAATTCTGAAAGTTTTACTGCAAGAAAATACATGCTTACTTTGTATCCTTGCAACATAAAAATAGAAAAGTGGATAGAGATGGCTGTTGATACAAATAGTTTCAAAAACTTCATTATTTATTTCCTGAAATAAGCTAAACTGCATGTCTTCTTTTCCTCAATAATGATACAGCTTAGTTTAAATCAAGGGTCAAGCTCAGAGATGAACGACATCCCATTAAAGGTCATTTTCAATGAACATGTCACTCAATTTTAACTTTGTAACAAGGACACTCAGCGTGGGAAGCTTCCTGTCCTTTTAACCAAAGCCACTTCCTAACTATTCAAAGATGACTTTGCACCTGTGAACAGCCTATCAATAAAACCAATACATCTCCTTTAAATTAAAAAAAGAAGGAAGTGAACCAGCCTCGCCACATTGCTCCTAGTTCATTATTTGATCCTGGCTTGCTGCACTGAATAGAAAGTGGGCACTAGAAAAAGACAGCAGTCATTCTGTAGGTTTGCCAGTTTCAATGACAAAGCAGTAGCAATACTGGCCTCTCAAAGGAGACCAGCTTGGGGTAGTGAATCTATCTGCTAGAGTAACAAGAAATGGCAAATTAGTTCTTTTATTTCATTTCATATCTTGCTATCTCCTTAAAAATTTAAAGCAATATTTTCATATAAAAATTTGATAAAGTTCAGAAAAATAAAAATGTGAAACTTCCGACTCAACATGGATAGATTTTCCTCTCATGTAAGAGCTAACCTAACAGCGAGAGGTACAGAGAAGGAATATCTGCATGCTCATTACAAAAAGAGGAAAAAGTAGCCATGTTACGTTTTGCTGGGTTTCATCTTGTTCTCCTTTTCTAACTTCTGTGCAATAAAGCGGGATAAATGGTTAAGTCAGTAGAAAATTTTCTGCAGGCTCTGACATGTCATCTATGTATCTCTTAAATACCTTTTATTACAATCCTTTCTTAATAGCTACAGAGAGAAACTGAAGGAAATAAAAGGACAACTGATGTGAACACACATAATCTTTGATGGCAACTGGAGATGGAGTTCAAAGGGGATTCTTGGCTATTTTAGCACGTTGATATTGAAGAAAAAGGACTATCTCAAAGCCAGTAAATGTATCTGCCAGACCTTTATCTGGGTACTTTATTCGAACTTTTATTAAGTTAACAGGGAGAAAAGTATCATAAGTTAATAGGGGGAAAAGCCCATTAAAATAGATTTCTATCAGCTGTAAAATGACTGGAAGTTTTCTGTAAGACTTCGGTTAACATGCTTGACACTATTTTGTCTAGTTCATCAACATCAACAAGGCAGCAGGGCAATGGTAAAGTTATGATCAGACTGATGCAGGTGACACAGTTCTGCACATGCAAACTTTTGAGGCTCGAATGTGAAGATTCATGAAAAATCATGGGATATACAACTCTTTCACCAAAGTAGAAACACTTTATTTACAAATTTAAATATAAGGTGCTTCTATCCTAAAATATCTACAAAAATGGGACATTATCTGAAGGCAAGCAAATGGCTTTAATCTGTAACATAATTGAAGCAGTGACTACACAGTGATTTAGCCCAGAAGAACACAAGACTAAACTTACAAATCTTGTGCAAACTGTGTTTGTTTTGGACAATATCTTGAGAACCTACCACCAAAAACTCTTTAAGAGCTTGAAATATGCAAAGAATACATAAAGAAGCAAAATGTCATCAAGTCGGGAGAGAGAACTTTCCATATAATAAAGAAAGAGCACATGAAGACAAAGTATTTCCAGGACAGCAGTGGTGGCAATGCCAGAAAAGGATTTTTTTTTATTATGTTATCTGCATGATGACCACATATAAGTGTGTGTGTGTGTGTGTGTGTGTGTGTGTGTGTGTGTGTGTGTCTTCATTCCTCAGGATGCAGTTTAAAAGTTAAGCAGAATAGAGAAAGTGAAAGAAATAGCATGAGGAGAGAGGCATTTGTGGTTATAAACAAGTTTTTTTTGCTGGGTTTCATCTTGTTCCAGCTTGGGGGAAATTTTCAATGAAAATATCCCTTCCTCCTCAGAATTTTACTGTTTATGTTTAAGAGTTACATAAATGTTCCACAATTCTGTGTAACAAGTTAATTTTCATCCGTTATATTTTAACAAACAAATTTTGCAAAAGTTCTAGCATCCCTTGAGTCTTACAGATATTACTTAAACGTTCAAGTTACACTTTATGCAAGTCATTCACATGTTGTTGACTAGGAAAACAGACCAAAGAATATATTACTAGCATAATACTAAACCTCCTCTTATGAATTGTCTTGCTTACAGAAATTTCTAATTTTACACACATATTTAGAGTACATAAAGCTAAGGATTAAGGTGGCTATAACCAGAGTGTTTGAAAACTGAGTAATTGAGAATTAGAGCTCTGTTGGAGACAGGCTGCCATAATAGCAGTGAGTGTCTATAGATCATAGAACAAACCAATAGATTCACTTTTTGCCACCCCAAATAGTGCCTCACTCAATAACATATCAGCACTTTTCTTTACTGGCTTCAAATATACGACTGCATGACTAATATCCATAAAAAAACAGCTAACAGTTTCTGTCATTCCATTTCTAAAACTGTGTAGAATTGAAAATATGTATGCTCTCATTAAGAAGGTAATGCTCAAAAATTTTTGGAAAAAAAAAAAAAAGAGGATATCAAGCTTTCCAAGATAGAAGGTCAAGGGACTGCTGAAATTTACACATGATGCTTTTTGATATGGTCACCATCAGCACAGAGCATACATAACGGCCCCTGTAAAAAAGGTCTGCTTAGGAAGAAAATAACATATGCATGGGGATGTGCACAATGTGCATGTTAAAAAGAAGGAAAAGGAAAGAGCCTTTCTTTGGATTTGCTTTAAATACTTTTGCTTCTATGCAGGGCTTAAATTATATTTAAAAGACTTTTTTTTTTTTTTTTTTGAGACAGAGTCTCACTCTATTGCCCAGGCTGGAGTGCAGTGCTGCGATCTTGGCTCACTGCAACCTCTGGCTCCTGGGTTGGAGCAATTCTCCTGCTTCAGCCTCCTGAGTAGCTGGGATTACAGGTGTGCTCCATCACGCCCAGCTAATTTTTGTAATTTTAGTAGAGACAGGGTTTTGCCATGTTGGCCAGGCCGGTCTTGAACTCCTGACCTTAGGTGATCCACCCACTTTGGCCTCCCAGAGTGCTGGGATTACAGGCATGAGCCACCGCCCTGGGCCTATTTAAAAGATTTGTATCTCAGTTGGGTTTTAGACTGAAAGACTGGAAGCCATTTGCTCCTTATATGAAGAGAAAGACATAACTTAGGGATAAAAACCTGAAAGTAGGCTGGGCACAGTGGCTCATGCCCATAATCCCAGCATTTTGGGAGGCCGAGGCAGGCAGGTCGCTTGAGGTCAGGAGTTTGAGACCAGCCTGGCCAACATGGTGAAACCCTGTCTCTACAAAAGTACAAATTAGCTGGGTGAGGTCAGGACTTTGAGACTAGCCTGGCCAACATGGTGAAACACTGTCTCTACAAAAATACAAAAATTAGCTGGTTGTGATGGTGCACACCTGTAATTCCAGCTACTCAGGAGACTGAGGCAGGAGAATCACTTGAACCCCGGGAAGTGGAGTTTGCAGTGAGCTGAGATGGCGCCATAGCACTCCAGCCTGGGCGACAGAGCGAGAC